GGACGGCTGGGTGTCTTTTGAAGATTTCCCCTCTTCCACGAAAACATAAAAAAAAAAAAAAAAGTGTTACCGGCTAATGATGATGATACCGTGGATAGAGAAGGTTAAAAATGAAGAGGTATTAGAAAGAATAGGAGAACAAAGAATTCTATGGAAGTCAATAAAACATAGGCGAGATAGGTTGGTAGGACACCTTCTCAGGCATGAAGGTCGAGTCAGAGACATACTAGAGGCTGAAACGAGTGTTAGAAGGGTTAACGAAGCAACGTTTATTGGTGGTACAAAATATTCTCAGAGGGCCGAGAAGATGTGAACGACGAAGAGCGTGGCGGACGCCCCAGCCCGTTAACAACAGAAGAAAACATTGATGAAGTAAAGAAAATAGTATCTATTAGTCAATCGTCGAATCACCCTAAGAAAAGTTGCCGAGGATTTAAGTGAATATTAATGTAGTCTCTTCGGAAAACGAATGTGCCTGTTACAATATGATTATATGATATTATGTATATTCCAAATTAAATAATAAATTTCGTTCAAGTAAAATATGGTGCAGGCGCCGGACATACTGAAATTACAAATTTAGATATTAGTTTTTGAACATTAATGTGAAATTCATTAAATTTCTTCTCACTACAAGTAACTTCAAATTAATGATTACTTCACATTAATGCTTAAGAATTATTAAATATTAACCGCTATTAAAAGTTTCTTAAATATAATTTATATTAAGTGAGATCACACTAATATTTCTCTTAATTGGATAGTTATGAGGGGTTTGTACAAGTGAATTGCCTAAAAAACACCTTGATAGCATTGGTGCACAATAAACACTGAAAAAAAAAAATAATTACATTTTAAATAGCTAGGATTTGCGATACAATTTTCAAACACAATTCACATCGTGTTCAATGAAATTATTCTGTAATCCTAATCTTTAATTTTAACGTTAAATCTACACCGTGACCTTGATAACAAACCTTAAAATTAATAATGTTTCTCATTTTTTGTCGATATTGTCGCGCCCCTTAGGGTGAAAATCACTTCTTTAATTTGATTAGTTATTTACCATTCCAGAAACGTTCTAATGAATTCTGATCACGTTAATTTAAAAATAAAATGCCGTAATTAATTATAGGGTTGTTCGGAAAGTCATTTCGTTTTTCCGATATTCACCAAAACAAGGTGATGCTGTTTGTTTGGAGGGATTTTAAAGGAATCGTTTTTTTTGAGCACAACGATTAATTCGGAAGTCTACTGTCATCAGCTGGACAAACTGAATGATGCACTTCAACAGAAAAGGTCAGAACTAATCAACAGGAAAGGTGTAGTGTTTCACCAAGACAACGCGAGACCTCACACAAGTTTGGTCACTCGCCAAAAGCTTTTACAGCTTGAATGGGATACAATGCTACACCCACCATATTCTCCAGACCTGGCACCATCGGATTATTATTTGTTCTGGTCACTCCAAAATTTTTTAGACGGTAAAACCTTCACCTCAATTGAGGAGGTCAAAAACCTCCTCCATCAGTTTTTTGCCAATAAAGACCAATAATTGTGGAATTATGCTACTACCAGAAAGATGGCAAAAGGTGTTGGACCAGAACGGTCAATATATAATTTAACAAAGTATTTGTTTATTATACGAAAACTGTCTTTCATTTCCACAAAAAAAAAAAACGAAACGACTTTCCGAACAACCCTATAATATTTCATATATCTGAATTAGCTGCTGACCTATAACTAATAATAAAAATGGTGGTGTCAATATTCAACTTTGACAACATGTTTTTGTATATAGCCAGTTACTTTGTGTGTAACTTCAAGTGTTTCGAAATTTCCGTAAAACAATTATTCAAAACACTGATTTAATGCATGAACGTTGAAAATTCTTTAAAAAATTCAAGTCTACTTAGAGGAAGTAATATAGTCATTACTAAAATTGTCTCAAGGTTTTTTACTTAATTTTTGCGCAATTTTGACCGGTATCACGTGACCTGTAACAAGACTTTTATTATATCACTCCATTGAAACTATATTTGAAAACGAATAATAATTAATAAAAATTATAAATTTTTATACTCAGGTGCTCATAGGCTTAGCGAAAGTCATTTGTATCATTTAGTTATTCAGACTTATAGGTAATATATCAACAGTTTATTAACCTCACTTTTCACATATGAAAACCAAGAAGACTAGATAAAAAAAAGTCGTTTTAGTTCCGCTATTTATAACTCAAGAACGGCTGAACCGATTTGGCTGAAAATTGGTGGGGAAGTAGCTTATAACCAGAAGACAGACATAGGTATCCTGTTCCCGCGGGGGGGGGGGGAGGAGTGGTGAAGAAGAGTTGCAATATGTAAATGGAACATATAATATTTGTGGTCAGATTTACCTGAAACTTGGTTTTAATGGTCTCTCATTTAAATCATGAAAGACCTATCTCGACATTTTAAAAAATTCAAGCTCTGAAGGGGAGGGGGGTAAAAAGGTGTTCCGATTTTTGTTTGGGACATACTTTATTTGTGGTTGAATTCACTTGAAACTTCGTGTATATGCTGTTTGATATTATTAAACAATTTATTTGTATTCGAATTTACTGGAATGTTGCTCATTGTTGGAATTAAGCAAATACGTGTTTTGGCAATTTCTAAAATTAACCCTTAAAGGATAAAATGTTGTTGCTACGTTTGTATTTGAAATCTAAGATGGCGACATTACATAAAATTAAAACGTTGTAAGGGTGAAATGGGAGTTAAAAGGTTTTTTTTGGAGGAACAATATAAATTTCTGCGAGCGAAGCCGCGGGGAAAAGCTAGTTACTAAATAAAAGATAGATCACGATCATTTTTAGTATCAAATCGTATACATTTCATACACAAAACGTAAACAAAATCTCCTCATCTATACGTCATATCGGATGCGCATTGCCTTACTGCGCAGCGGACCACCAAACGCAACTTACGATTAGTGACGCTCTTACATCAAGTATGCTATGTACTCATTTCTTACTTCTTGTTATAATCGAAACAATTCGTTCGTATTCCGATCTGCCCTGACGAGTGGTCCAGGATCGATCATCGATTACTTTTTCTTTGTTTTTTTACACTACACAAACGATTTCTTTATGCGTCTGTGACACACTCATCCTCTCCTTTTACAATGAATACCAAAAAAAACAGAAGTTTCGACTTCCAGGTACATATTATAATGTTCATTTGATAATAGTAGTGTATATGTATAGCCATATTATAATGTAGTGACCTAAGTATTAGGTCAAAACCGTTTTTCGACAAAAATAAAAAGTGTAATACGCAAATGGTTCCTATTATGCATGAATGTGACGGTAAACACGTGAATGTCGCATACGATTAAAACCACCGACTTCCTATAAATCGTGCAAACAATTGGGCATTCGTATATGTATTTTTTTTTTGTAGACTGTTTCCCTAAAAAAATCGAAATTTGAATACCTTGAAACGTAATTATATACTGGACTATAATACATGGTTATCGACCATTGATAACGTCATTTCTCCGTATTATTATAAAATCGCGCCAAAAAAGACTAAGATAGCAATAGTATTTTTAAATTTTTATTTCTTCTTGTTGTACGGATGCGAAACATGGACGGTGGGCGCTGCGGAAAAGAAAAGGTTAGAAGCGTTCGACATGTGGTGTTACAGGCGAATGATGACGATACCGTGGATAGAGAAGGTTAGAAATGAAGAGGTATTAGAAAGAACAGAAGAACAGAGGACTCTATGGAAGTCAATAAAAAATAGGCGAGATAGGTTAGTAGGACACCTTCTCAGGCATGAATGTCTAGTCAAAGACATACTAGAGGCAGAAACGGAAGTTAGGAGGGGTAGAGGTAGACCTAGGTTAGATTACTGTTCGCAAATAGTTAAGGATGTGGGATGTTATGATTTTAGGAAAATGAGAAGTTTAGCTCAGGATAGGAAAGAGTGGAGGTACGTGTCCAACTAGTCTTAAGACTGACGACCTTATGATGATGATGATGATTTCTTCTTATTTTCAAGGTATTCCTATAAGAATTTTTCCCAATGTGGGGACAAAAATATCTAATCAAGACCCACGTGTCGCCTTTTGGTACAAAAATTACAAGCAAGAATCGGTTCCCTGAAATCTACCTTGAAAAGCCCTATAGGCCTACCTACGCTATACCAAAAGGCGAAATGTTGGTGCTATTGCTGTAAATAAAATTTTCCGATCAGACTTGGTTTTGTTCCAAAAATCAAATAGAAATTTTTTTGTTTTATTTTTAATTTTCTTTTTAATTTTTCTGCTTGTAAGAACTCTATGCAATTATTTATACAACAAAAATTTATATCAGAATAGTGAAAGCGAAAATAACGAGTTGCCCCCCGTCTACCTGCTTTTAGTAAAGGTTAAAATTTTCGGTAGGTTGAATTATCTTCTAATGACTGTCGAATTGCCTCCTACCAGTAGCGGAGTATGACTTTGAGTGCTAGTGATCGATGATTGTACAGACTATAATCTTACAATAACAACTTTAAATGCAATATATGTAATTTCCTTAGGGTAAGGGTAAAATCATCAAACTACCTATTGGTCAAAAACAATCTGTTAACCCATTGTCAATTAATTGTTTGATGTCTTTCATTTTAAAAACTACCCGTAAAATAATAAATATGTGTTGTTACTTGTGAAACTGGTGAAAAAGAAAAGCCGCTATTAGTTCTTGACAACTTTAAGTTTAGTTTCCAAAAAAAACCTGTGCAATGGGATTAAAAGGCGCAAATTTTATATTGAAATGGAAGGTGAAAAATTGATTAATTTTATTTTTTTATAGTATTGACGTTTAAAGTAATTAATAAAACAGGAGCCAGTACCGGTAATTCAACCACCTCTGATATAAATTAATTATCTTTGGGTGGCAACCCGACATAATCTATTGAAAACATTAATCGTATCAATAGTTTGCGCGTAGTCTAACAATTAACTAAATTTCCTACCTCGTTGATGAGCATTTGGCGATCCTGCATGCTCATTCCGAGATCAGGAAGGCAACAGTCTCCTGCGACCGCGACGACCTTGTGTCGAAACTTCGGCTGCTCGTCCTTTAACCTTTTGAAGACGACGTCATCGAACATTTCGTCCAGTCTGTCATGGGCTGTTTTGCCCTTCTTATTTCGAATGAGAATGTAGATCGAAGCAACATCTGGACAAGATCTGAGTAATTTCTCTACCAAAATCCTTCCGAGGAAGCCTGTTGCTCCAGTCACGAAAATGTTTGCTCCAGCGTAGAACTTCTGAATGGGAGTCGCCTCAACCGAAATGTTTTCGATCAAGTCTGTCATTGTGATTTAATCTGCAATAAAACAGTAAAGTTGTAGTGCATATTCTCATTAAGTAATAGACTTATTGGAGCATACGTAATCCTAAAATGTAGCATTGTACTATAGATGGCGTTTACCGCGCCATTTGTAGTATTTTCTAAAACGCGCTGTTAAGACAGCAGGTAAAAGTTGGTCTGTGTTCTGTCGGAGCTGTCTGCGACACGCTGATGAGATCCACAAAGATCGAAATCGCGATCCCCGTCTGGCAGTTTCGACAGAATACAGACCACTTCGATTATTTTATTCGATAATGGTAACGTATCTATCACGTAGTGGTTAGCTACGCCAGGATTCGTTTCAGCAAGTAGATATTCATATATTTAAACGGACCTTGTTGGAGCATACGTTATCCTAAAATGTAGCATCGTACAACAGATGGCGTTTACCGCGCCATTTGTGGTATTTTCTAAAACGCGCTGTTAAGGCAGCAGGTAAAAGTTGGTCTGTATTTTGTCGGAGCTGTCTGCGACGCGTTGATGAGATCCAAAAAGATCGAAATCGCGATCCGCACCTGGCAGTTTCGACAGAATACAGACCACTTCGAATTATTTTATTCAATAGGCTTGAAATACTAAAAACCAAATTAATAGGTTGCGCTTAGTGGTTTATTCAACGTCTTCCATATACGGAATTGGTAATAGTGACTGTGGAGTTGAGAATTCACAGTAAGTATTACATTAGCTATGTTTTTGTGTAGATGTTCATACTGGGTCACATGGAGCATCTTCGAAAATTCTTATATAGATATATTACCCGTTATCATCAGAAGATTTTCAGTGTGATGGAATATGAAAACTCAGGCAAGGCAAATCCTAAATCTCGCAGGTTGTAGATTTGAAATATAAGTTTATTAATACTATAACAACCATTTTGACATTTAATAGGGGTGATATTATTAATGAAAATTAATTTTTTATTTTTAATTTTGTCACTACAAACTGTCTCAATCAAAGGAAAATTGTTGCTGTTGTCACACCCTCACTGGGAATCGAACCCGGCAACAATTTTCCTTTAATTGAGGTAATTTCTAGTGGGAAAATTAAAAATAAAAAGCGAATTTTCGTAAATAAGTTTATAGTTCAGAGCTGTTTATTTTCTGAGTAACAAAATAGATGCGATAGATTAGTGTCAGTAGGTATAACGCATACCTGCTAACTTGGGCCGATGGTCAATTTGCAGATATCAGGTGCTAAAGGTACATAAAAACATTACCTAATCTCTTTTGTTAAAGTCCGAAGGCCAAATACTACATAATGTTTCACAGAATATAGTTAATCAACACTGCTAGACACTTTCCATCGACGTAATTTCTGCCAAATGCTTCAAAGTAATTTTACTTATATAGTCTGAGTCTTCATTTTAAAAAAATATATAAACTTTTTGTAAGCAGTTAGACCAATTGTAGGGACCAAACATCCCCAGACGCAAATAAAATGTCACTGTGTTGTAAAGCCAGCGACATTTGCGTTTGGGGGATGTCTGGGGATGTTTCACCCCTACAATTCGTCTGGCTGTTTACAAAAAGTATTGAAATACATAGTTCCGTATGAGTAAAGTTACGATTCCTTTTTTGCGAACACTGACGAGTCTGACAGAGATTACCTTCGGTGGAAAATGTCTGCCAGTGTATTAATTTTTAACAAATTATCTGAAATATTATGTAAAAGTAGAATGAAGATTCGGGCTATAGGGCCGTGGACTAAGTGAACTGTTCCGTCCAGACGTTTCGTCAGCTACTGCAGCTGACATCCTCAGTGGTAGTGCTGCGTTGCAGTGTTCGGAACCGTACGATAATTATCGTACACATACGATAATTTCATGTCTACGTACGATGTGCGATATCATATTATTATCGTACGCAGATTGTACGATAATTTTCATGCATACAAAATTTATTTTATTCTTACCCTCTCAGACAATATCACGAAGACTTTCTTTTATTCGCGAATATTTTTTTTTCTTTTTGCTCACAGCGCTATAAACATTTTTGTTATACGCAGTGTTAAATTTAGAAGAACGTGCCTGCAACAAAAGAACGTTATCATGCTAGTATGTAGGTTTTTCCTCAACAGGTAACATCCCTTCGTGTTGGTCACCAGATGGGTCGATGGTCTTCCCATCCACAATTTTGTAATTGTAGTCATGTAGTCACTAACCATAACCTACGGTCAAAAACACCCCACTAACATACCTCCTAGTTCAGGTCTGTCTTTTTACACGATTAATACGAGTAATTTACTAATTATTTTGATTATTTTGAAATGTACGATAATTTTGCTCCATGTACGATAATTCTACGCTACTGGTACGATAGTTGCCTCGCTTCAGGTTGTGAACACTGCTGCGTTGACAGCGACAGTCGCTGTCGAGACTTCGAGATATAATCTACGTTCACGTTGTCAACGCAGCACTACCACTGAGGATGTCAGCCGCAGTAGCTGACGAAACGTCTGGACGGAACAGTTCACTTAGACCACGGCCCTATATCCCGAATGTTCATTCTACTATGGATTCCGGCCGTGAAAGCCTTTGTTCCTATATTATTATGTAAAATTTAGCACTCAGACTTTAAGAAAATTTGAAGGAGGTTTATGTTTAATCATAACGTTTAATTATTTAATTTAGTGTTGTTATTATGTTTTAATTATACTTAGCTAATGCAAATAAGGCTACGGTAAATGATGTCAATTATTTATTAATGTAATTATTTTCTAATTTTCTAATAAAATTTACTATTTGTTAACGGTTGATTAGTCAAATGCAAAGTTTACATTGTATTATTGCAGTTATGTGCGATGCACTGAATTTATATTTAACAATAAAACAACAAAATGCCAAAACATTCAGTTGTAAGTTCTAGATAGTTGGTTGGTTAATTACAAACTTGATTAGAAAATACTATGATTACTGAGTAACAATGTGTCATAAAATTATACGGGAATTATTATGGAAATTTTTTAATATTGTTTTACAACTAGTTAGTATATTTAGCGCATATGCAAAATTTTCTTGGATAAATTATGGAAGTTTACCAATTTTTTTGGTTTATGATATTAGTACCAGATAAATGATATCTAAATTGTAAAATTGATAATTTCATCTGTTTTCACCGGAATTAGTCTGATTTTTTCTTGATTACGGATTTAATATGACAGTTGACTTGAGTTTCATAGTTTATCATCATCATCATCATCATCATCATAAGGTTATCAATCCTAAGAATGGTTAGACACGCACTTTCACTCTTTCCTATTTTGAGCTAATCTTCACATTTCCCTAAAACTAGAACATCCCACATCCTTAACTATTTGCGAGCAGTAATATAACCTAGGTCTACTTCTACCCCTCCTAAGTACTGTTTCTGCCTCTAATATGTCTCTGACTAGCCCTTCATGCCTGACAAGGCGTCCTACCAACCTATCTCGCCTATTTTTTATTGACTTCCATAGGGTCACTATTTTATATTCAGTTTTCAGCAACCTGGGCGATATGTCGACTGTGGTTTTTAAATAAGTAAAGCCCTTTTAACGCCAATATTGCCTTGATTTTAAAAAACTGAATATAGTGTTATAGAAATGGCGTAACAGCAACGTGCTGGGCTATCATTGTAATTGCTATAAAATACATAGGTTAAACCCGTGGATAGAAAAAATTGTTTTAAAGGAAGTTATGAATGTTACAGATAAGCGTGTGGATCAAAAATAGTAAAATTAAAACTGAAAGGCAATTAGGCTAGAATGATATGAGAATACAACACTAGTCTCGAAGCAAAGGCCATTCAGTTCAATAAATAATTGATTAGCGTAATGATCATAAAGTTAATATCTTATTATTTTTTATCGTTAACATTACTGCTAGCATAAATTTTACATCAACTAAAGAATTACGTCAACTGAACAATTTGAAAATTATATCTCAATCACTTACAATAGGTAACCTAAGCCATATAAACAAAAGACCAATTTCGACTAATTTCATTGAAAAATTTAGAGAAAAATGTAAGAAGTGTTATATGGTTCAAGGTAACTAAGGTACTCGTGTTTTTAGTAAATTCATCATTAATCTGATTTTTCTCATCATCTGGCGAATAAACAGTGAAAATTGTTAGAAGGCATTGTCCACGTAAATGTATGAGAATAATCCGGTGTGTTGGGCTCAATATTAGCGAAAGAAGAAAAAACCATTGTTCAGACCAGGGTACATTTACCTGCCGTTTCCTTGAACCATTAAGTTGGAAATTCAAATATTCAATTTTGTTGGTTTTTACAAATATTATATGTAAGTGGTTTAGGTGTAATTTTAGGGTATCGAACTTTGCAGGTAACAATTATCTTTAAGATAATTTATCTTCAAATACTTAAATAATATTAGAAACCAGTTGGTTAGCACTTTCACCCCTTCCTCTATCAGGGTGGAGATTATGTTATAAATAGGCTGACACACTCATAATAA